CATCTCTTCGAACTCCTTCTCCAGGCGGACCTGCTTGGGAAGCTGCCAGGGATGGAGGTACCATTTTTTAAGGCCTTTTTGGGCCAAGGGAATATAGGGAATATCCCCAGAAAATATGGCCTGATACAGTACAGGACCTCCATTTTTGGGAAAATTCCCCCTGATTTTTTGGGCCATATTTGGAAGGGGATTGATCGAAGAATCTGAATTAGTCGGCTACTGATCCATAGCCATATGTGGGCAGATGCAATTTAGAAATATGGCCGGGAGCTCATATGGGAGGCGCCAAGAATGAGAAAAGAATTGAGATTCGAACGCTATATTTATAGCTGAAAATTGATGGAAATTGGCCAGTAGTGCCTCCAAAGGTTCAATTTCTCCATGTTTGCAAGCAATGTCTATACGACTGAATGTCTCTTACTTTACCCCACACCAATTCACTAATGTGTCACTAGTGATAAGTGTGCTGTCTGATGCCAGCTATTTTTCCAGGGCTTTTTTCCCAACACTGTACACAGTTTCTTTCCTGTTGAATAAAAAAATCCATCGAAATCCCATCGAAACTTCGCTGGATTTCTCCATCCCAACTGGCCCTTGGGCGGCCGTTGGCGGTCCCACCTGATCGTCTTGCGGCAGCACGGGCATCGCATTCTTCCGCGCGAAGATGTCAGCGGCTTCGGTCAACAGATCCATCTGCAGTCGGATAGAAAAACCCCCGCAACCATCATGCCATGGGCAACCTAAAGTCATAGAAATGTGAGAAAACCTGGAAGTGTCCTGCTGCACATGTCTATCTTTTCAGGGGTAGTACTGGCTGGGTTAGGAACGGGATTCATTAATGATTAAATATGATCATCTCCAATAAATTACTAGTATAACTTATAACTAACCCCCAAACGAATAATCAATGAACAGGGGCTAAGCAGCCTCTGCTCATGCAGGGGTCCTGCATCATTTTAGATAAAAGGGCTTTGGATCATGCCTGATTTATCCACAAATAGGGTATGCAACCAATTTTTTCTGGTTGGTTTGTCTAAGCTCATCTCATAGTAAACTAGATTGCCCCTGCAAGGTACCAAATCCCGGTAAACCAGCATAAGAAATTCACAGAAATACCGCAGCCCAAGGTCGGAGAAGGTCACAAAAAATTGGATGTTTACATCAAGCACCGTGCTTCCCTAATGTTGACCGTTTTACTCATCTGAAGTTGTGGTACTAACAATCACGCCTCCACACTTCTCTTCTGCAAATCATCGTACTGTTCACACCTCAGTGCTTCGCAACTCGGCAGCGTTCTACAGGCCTGCTGTAGCCAATGGCACACATACTTCGGCAGGACCAGAAACGGCATCACTGAAGAGGCTTTAAAGATAAAAATACAATAGAGCCTTGGATTGCGATCCTTGCAGAACACAAACACTCAACAAAGCTCAACAAAACATATAAGTGAAGCATTACCCAAAAGGCATTGATCGAAAAGCCAGTTTTCATCGTGAAATCATTGTCGAGTCTTTCAAGTTCAATGCAGCAGCGCATGAATAACAATAACCCAACAAACTCCATACATTAATATATGACCACAAGCAGACAAAGAAGATAGCAAAGTCTGATCAACACACACAACACATCCAGGTACTTTATTTAATGATTTTCAGAAACATCTGAGGCCCCAAGGTCAAGGCCTCCTTGTTTCCCCATTTAACGCTTGTCCCGTGCGCCCAGTCACCAATTTTCGAAGGTTGAGAGATGCTTCGGCTGCGCACCGGGAAACGCCTGAGTTTTGTGGATCAATGGGGGCTGTGCCAGCAACAACAATGGCTGTCTCTAGATGCAGTGCCTACATGGTTCTACACTATATATGTACCATTTTATACAGACCTGCATGTGGCGCGAGAAAATCTCAGTCAAAAACATCTGCTGTCTTTTTCTGAAGACATCCTTGAATCATCTAAAATGGCACCTTCTTCAAGAACTGGAGGAAGGTTGGTGTACCTGGCACCCAGCGGGTACCCTGGGATGATGGTACAAATGGTGGATGACAAAGCATCAAAACATTATTATACAGAGTACCATTGGTAATAATGCCATGATATTCAATGATTACTGATAATATCTGATCATAAATGATCATAATCATGGTAGCTATGTCGTTTTAGCATGTTTTAGCAATCATTGTAGTCATCATTTTCCTGCTTAAATAGAAGGCTTCACCCCGCCTCCCAAGCCATCCACGACTTTGTGCATGGCATCTGCCACCAACTCCCAAAGATCCAACGTCAAGCTGCGCTTTAGGCCGTACCTGGACCAAAAATGGCCGTTTCCCCAGCGGATTTTGTGTCAAAGCTGGAGGATCTGGATAATATGTTGATTAATATGTTGATTAATATGTTGATTAATATGTTGATTAATATGTTGATTAAAACCCCAGTCTTCCTCCATCCCCAATTTTTTAGGGGGAAATCTTCTTCGGGACCCAAAAAAAATCCCAAAACGCGCCGCGGCTTTGTTCGGCGTCTAGCGCACTCGCACTCCGAAAAACTGAGTTGGAAGGAGCCTTCTTCAATACCTTGGTACCGGGTCGGTGGTTTCCACCTCGAAACCTATTGTGCCACTGGGGGAACATCGTAAGGAAAATAGAAAGGACGTGATTTACCGAAAAATGATGTGCATACAAATGATAGGATATGATATGTGTAACTTACATAACCAAACAAAACTAGGAATCTATAATCTATATATAAGATCTACAACTTGTGCAAACGATGGGTATTTCAGCCATAATGTGATCTTGGTCGTGATTGAGGCACCCCACAAAAAAAAAAAACTTCTAACTCATCAAAAGCAATGACGATATGCACCACCTATAATTGGAAAGTTGATCCGGCTGGTGATTGAATCACCCATCCCATAAACATGACGGTCAACTGGCATCATCCACTATCTAAGGTTCGTTTTCATGTGGTTGGGAAACTCAATTCCTTGCCCCATTCGCCCATTTTTTTTTGGGAAGCTGGATACCCACTGGGTGACCCAGTTAAGGTACCTGCAGATGTGGGAAATGCTGAACCAGCAAAAATGCAGGTTTTATATAATGCCCCAAATGAGAGGTTCACCAACAAAAAACCAGGGTTTCCCCAACCAAACATAACAGTGTTGAACCCTCCGATCGGATTTCGGTACCCATTTCTGCTCGACAACTGCATGCCTTCAGACCGTCAATGGCAAGTGGCAAAGCTCATAGATGTCTCTGATAAAGAGCACCTGTCCCCAACAGTTGCCGTGGGAGAGAAATATCTCAAGATTTAAGACTGTTGACCCAGAAAAAGTTGGCCGTTTTCTTGAGCTATCAAACCACCCATTTTGGGGAGCCTATTTCGATCCACACAGATGGAAAAGCGCTCTTCCAAAACGTGAACTGGCTAGTTCTGCATTAGAAACAAGCCTTGACCAAAACCCTCGGCTAAATCCACAGTTTTGCTGGCGAATTCCACAGTTTGTTGCTGTCTAAATCCACATTTCTTATCTGCCTGGTGGTATACCTACCCCTCTGAAAAATGGAGTTCGTCAGTTGGGATCTGTTTATTCCCAACTGAATGGAATAAACAGGAAAGTCATTCAAAATTCCATGGTTCCAGTCACCACCAAGCAGTTATATCTCATTAACCATTATTAACCCACTATTAAACCACTATTATTTGGGATTATTGTTCCAAACCACCAGTCCCAGTTATGGTTAAAGCATCGATCCAAGCCCCAATGGATTGGGTGGGATCCCAGGACCTGCCATCGATCCGGCAGCTTCACATCTCGAGAGGCATCCAGCTCCTGCGGAGCTAAAAAATGAAGTGAAAACCTATAAATTTCGGACCATCTATAAATAAAAGCATAAAATTTTCCATTTTCACAATTTAACCATAACAGAAACTGAAAATTTCTGAACATAGAATACCATCTGGTAATTTAACATCTATAGCTATATAGCTATTGAAAATGGCCCAAATTTATGGTTGATTTAGCCATTCAAAATGGTGATGTTCCATAGTTTCTTGTATGTTTACCAGAGGGTAGTGATGACATTGGGAATTACTGTTGTGGGAATTACTATCCACTGGATTTTTGTGATTTAGACTTTTCGGCATCCTTTTTTGGGGGAATTGCTACTATAGAAGCAGCATTTTTGATGGGTTCACTGTTGGATGAACTGATTCACTGATGTCTTATGATATGGTGGATGAAACCACATGAAAACCCACCGAATTGTGTGGTTTAAGAAAGTAGCAGAGTTTCCAAGGAGAAGATTTGCAAAACTATGCTTGGGTAGATTAAATTGATGCAATATCTAGCTGCTCGTGTTTGGGGCACCCATATTCATGTCACTAGCGTCATCACATAATTCACCACCTCGACACTTGGGGAAAACAGAAGTCTCCAGGCATCGAAATCTGACCGGAAAAATAGGAAAAAACAGTCACATAATAATAAAAAATAGGAAAAATAGGATTCACATACATGAAAAGTTATAAAGATTTTGTTTGTTTCAGTAAACAGGAGGTTTTTTGCATTGTTTCTCAAAAAAACAAGTCCAGTGTTTGCTCCAGCTGTGGCGCGAAAGAGGCAAGAAATCCATGAGTAGGATGCAAATGGTCATCTGATGCCTGGAAAGTTGCCTTCAAAATTCTGCACCAAAAATGTCACTCAACATGACAATGGAGGTGGCTGCTCCCACTTTTTCGCTGCCCAAGTTGTAGACCCAACGACCGCAGTCTGAAGCAGCGTCGCACCAGGGAGACCCTTTGGTCGCCTTAAATCAACTTGTCAGAAACAAAGTGTCACTGGAAATGCTCGGCATCATCTAAAACTCACAGAAAGTCATCCACGCCTTTTGGCAGAATCTTGCCATCCGACTCCATTCTAGTAGAGGTTGTCAGTTGGAAAGTTGACAGAATAATCAGTGGCTCAGCACTCGCTTCTGCCACTCCAGGACAGTGCTGAGCAATATACTGCGCTGCATCCTTGTCCCCCCTCAAGGCTTCAATACTGGTGGCACTGCAATCTATACCCGAGATGCCATGGTGTGCGGTGGCACCTCTCAACCACTCACCCAACTTGTGAACGCAAATGCACCACTTCCCAAAGATCCCCACCTCTCCCTGCCCACTTTCCGGCCAAAAAGCCCGGGTGATCTGGGCACAGACTTCATGATGATTGGGATCCCCCGGTGCATGGCACAGGTTGTCACGGAAATATCCCGTGCCGCCCTCGTGGACGCAGGGCTGCAGAGCTGTGCCCAGCACGTTCTGCGGCCCCGCGAAGGCCGTGGCCACGGCTGGACCCGAGAGCTTTGCTAAGGCCAGGGGAAGCACCACATCCGGCATTGGGGCGGTTTGGAGTCAGCCGGAGTTGGAAGCTTTGAAACTACATGCCAAGGTGGTGGCTCAATGGTTCAATGGCTGCACGATGCCCAGAAGTTCAATGGAAAGAGATGAAATCAACAAAGAAAATGTTGGGTGTGGTTGTGAAGCCCCTTGCAATAATGCGGCAGTAAATTGGAATCATCATCCTCTTCTATTGCAGAATATTGATCTGTGCATCTATAATTATACCGCTATGTATTCTCATATTTTTATGTTTATGTTCATTCACAATCATATCTATATATGTATGTGTATACTAATAATATATATATATATTACATATATATCATATTCATACTTATACTTACATTTATCGTTATCTTCATATGACATCTTAGATTTACATACTGTATATATATATGGCAGTGTGTCAAAACCTTGTACCCCTGGTGAACATCAAAATAGCTGGTAAATGGATGTTCATTCCCATAAAAATGGTATTAATAGGTATTGATCCATACGCATATATATATATATACAGAGTATGTGGTAACTATAAGAAAATGGATCTACCGCGTCAAGGATTTGGACCAACCATGGTGGTCAACCGAGTCGCGCTCCTCTTGCGGGATCTCCACAGGACGGGTGTGCGACAAGAACCACTCCTCCCAGCGACCCAGCCATGGCTGGTTTCATGGATCCAACCCAGCTGGTTACGAAATGATATAGTTATTGGTGGATTACAAAATTATAACCAAAGAAGTGATTAATATGGCTATCACGATTGGTTGTTATTGGTGATACGAAATGATAGTTATTGGATACCCATATTTATGACCCATTAATTGTATATGATAACCCAAAAAAAAGCCAATGATTCAACTGTTTTTTTGCATTTAAAATACCCAACTGTTCATTGCTAAACGGGATCTATACTTAGGTTATTGGGTATTAATGAACCCATATAATGTGGGTTATTGGGTATTATTATGTATTATCTATACTTAGGTTTCTGATTCATATGGCTTCATAATACCCAATAACCATCAATAACCATCAATAACCATCAATAACCATCAATAACCATCAATAACCAATAACCCATATGAATCAGAAAGCGTTTTCAACCGGGCCGCGAGGCCGCGACTCCTCCGATTTCAGGTGGTACAGATCCGCCCCGGAACCACGAGAACAGAAGCGTTCGATGGCCAAGGCATATGGCAAGGCCAGGGGATCCTGAACGAGGCGCCCAAGCGAACCACGTGGTGATGCTACGGGGGGAAGCAGGTCTGGCCATCTGGCCTTTCCAAAATGTGGATGGAAGATGATGTGGCAGTGTGTCAAAACCTTGTACCCCTGGTGAACATCAAAATAGCTGGTAAATGGATGTTCATCCCCCTAAAAATGGTATTAATAGGTATTGATCCATACCCATGTAAGCCAGAAAAATCTGATGATTTGTGTGGATCCCCCTTTGTTTCCGGGATTCAACTTGATGAGTCACAAGACTCTTAGAACACACCCGTCATGCCACATTTGGATTCCAAAAAAAACACTTAAATCAACTCTCGCAAGTTCTCGATGACTGTCCAGTCGGTTGGCTGTTCCCTCTTTTTGTCGACCCAACTGTAGACCCAACCCATCATTGTTCGCTCGCCTTGAACTCGCGGAAACACCAGGCCTGGAACCAGGTGGATCTGCTTTAGAAAATCTAAAAAAAAAAATCGAACTTCTGGTAGAATCCTGGAGCTGGAAAGCCCTGAAACCCAGGGAGTTTTGTTGAGCCCGTGGACTGTCCACGGTAGTTGGGCCTCCACCGTCTTGTAGTTCAGGACTTGTCGCAGTGGCACATTGTCCCCCTGGCGTCAGCATCGTCCCAAACGTGTGGCACAATGATTGGTTACAGTGATTCAACAGATTCCCAGTGGATTTTCATGTTGATCCCTACTATATTGGCTAGTAACTTACCCTCTGGTTTTCTAACATAGCTATAGAACATTGCCATTTATAGTGGATTTACCCATTGAAAAGGGTGATTTTCCATAGTTATGTTAGTTTACCAGAGGGTAACTGTACAACTCCCCCCTTTTTCGTCAGGGTTTTTTTCACGCAGCGAAAGATGTGTGTTCACTGTGTTCACCCATGGTGGTTTCCGTCCAGCGGTGCTGATTCGTTGCAGGTGAGGAAAATTCAAAAATCACCAGGTCACCAGGGAGTTCCCAATGTCACACCGGGCATCCCGGACATATTTGGGCATGCCCCCTTCCACCTGCAGGGACGATCCCATCACTGTGGCATCTTTCATGACACACCAGGTGTGTTGCTGTCAACACCAAATTCCCTATGTTTGAAATCATGGTTGATTCTGAGAGCTTATCCCAAAAAAAAAGTCTACAGCAAGGGAGGATTCTCCCTTCTAGTTCCCATTCCGGATCTATCATCCATCCCTTGAGGTAAGCTGACCTCAGCCTTGCCGGATTCACAGCTTCAGGAAACGCCTCATCAAGATCCAGGCTGGTGACCCTCTCCAACTTCTTCTGCCGGTCTTTGATGGCCTGGCTTCAACCAATAGAACTCAGCGAGGTACAGGGAAATAAGATAGATTAGCAATGCTGATTGATTTTTGGTCATCCAATTGCTAATATATATTGTTGTTTTTCCATGGAAAAATATATATATATATGGAAAAACTGATTAGCAATGGAAAAATATATTGTGAATGAAAAATCCATCCAATCCTGATGAAATCATTTTCTTGGCAAATCCGACTCTGCGGATTGGGAAACCATGAAACATCCGCAGGAAACCATGGCTTTATTCATTGCCAAAGCGGTTTTGGTTGTCGTGCAGATCTTCCCTTACCAAGCCTCTTCCAGGATCATGCCGAAGACGCTCCAAGTGTGGTCTCTGATTTTACCAGTTGCTATGATTTTGACGTGATTGCATTATCTTATCCCATCTTGGAAACCTATCATCATGGGGGGATACGCATCCATTAACAGCTATTTTAGGGTACCTACTAATAACCATAACCATATTGGTGTTTTTTTCATCTACCCTCTGGTAAACATACAAAAAACTATGGAGAATCGCCATTTTTGAATGGCTATTTTGCAACTATTTCTATGGCCATTTTCCAGTTCGCAAACTCTTCTAAAACAGATCATCCCATGAACATCCCCAGTTTTGTTGGTTCAATCCCCATTACCCTCTGGTAATTTAACATAGCTATTGAAAATGGCCATTTATAGTGGATTTACCCATTGAAAATGGTGATTTTCCATAGTTTTTTGTATGTTACCAGAGGGTAAGTCACCATTAAGTCACCAGGAAAATCCCAGGTCGGGTATCCCCCATTTTTGTCGCCATCCCAGGTCGTTGCTGGGCGCCTGGATCAGCATGGCCCGGGTCTTGTCATCGTGTTGCGACATGGACTTCAGACGCTCTGCGGCGATCACCTAAAAATTCAAACATGGATCTGGAGATGAAATGTCCCCAAGACTTGAAGAATATACATACCAATACATACAATACATACATACATACCAATACATACCAATACATACCAATACATACCCAATACATACCCAATACATACCCAATACATACCCAATACATACCAATACATACCAATACATACCAATACATACCAATACATACCAATACATACCAATACATACCAATACATACCAATACATACCAATACATACCCAATACATACCCAATACATACCCAATACATACCCAATACAATACTACCAATACATACCAATACATACCAATACATACCAATACATACCAATACATACCAATACATACCAATACATAACAATACATACCAATACATACCAATACATACCAATACCATACCAATACATACCAATACATACCACATACATACCAATACATACCAATACATACCTACATACCAAATACCCAATCATACCCATACCTACCAATACATACCAAAACATACCATAATACCTACATACATCCAATACATACCAATACTACCATAACTACCATTACATACCATACATACCATTACATACCATTACATACCATTACATACCTTACATACCATTACATAATTACATACACCATTACATACCATATACCATTACATACCATTACATACCATACATACCATTACATACCAATACATACCAATACATACCAATACATACCATTACATACCATTACATACCATTACATACCATTACATACCATTACATACCATTACATACCATTACATACCATTACATTACATTACATACATACATACATATATATATATATATAGCATATATATATATATGTGTGTGTGTTTATAGTGTATATATATATATGTCATATGATATCCTCTTTTTGTTGAGTGATGTGAAAAAAATGGAACATGTACAACCCCTCTTGAAGTCCCTCCTCAGAGCCATCAGCTCTAGTGACTCGACCTGCAAATTATCTCTGATACATCGGATTTATAGTGAGGTTGTTGTGAGCTTGAGATCTATACATATATATGTATTATAATTATATACGTTGTTGTGTATATATATATATATAGATACTATATATATATATTATAATTATATACTATATCATATATGGTTATATACATTGTAATATGTTATATATATATATAGATGATTCACAGGTTCGTAGCCAACATTTGCGGCAATATGCCACATGCCACCAGATTTTTGGGGATGACCAGGGACTCCCGACAGAGATGCGATCGTAGAGCCTTCGGCCCAGCTCACCTAGGGACAGCGTGACGGCGTGGCTCGCCCAAAAAAAGTGCCCACTGGCAATAGTTGTGATAGTAAGTTGGACACTTGTGATTCATAGTAGATGATAGTAGACTAGATAGACTAGTCTGGAAACTTCCAAACTTTGGCCAGAGCGCCAAGAAATCTGGGCACAAAGCCCATCAATTTCTATTAACTTTGGCAACAAACCGTCAGACAAACAAACCCAAAGAAATATGATGGCGCACACCACTTCATGTAGACCAGACCTCATGGACCTGCATCCTGCTGCCTTAAAATGAGCCCATTCTTCACTTTGAAAGCCTGGGCAAAACGGATCCAAACTGCATATATATATACATATATATATATATATAGAGAGAGAGAGATAGATATGGATATGGATATGGATATGGCATGGACACGGATATAAAGATATAAAGATATAAAGATATAAAGATTTAGTGTGTGTGTGTGTATTCATACAAATATATATATATACAGTATACTCATGTCCGTCATATATATATACATATATACATATGTATATATATATATATATGTACATATATATATATATGTATATATATATGTATACATATATATATATACATATATATACATATATATATACATATATACATATATACATTTGTACATATATACATATATACATATATACATATATACATACATATATACATATATACATACATACATATATACATATATACATATATACATATATACATATATACATATATACATATATACATATATACATATATATATACATATATACCTATATACATATACATACATATATACACATATACATATATACATACTATATACATATATACATATATACATATATACATATATACATATACATATATACATATACATATACATATATACATATATACATAATATACATATATACACATACATATACATATATACATATATACATATATACATATATACATATATACATATATATACATATATACATATATACATATATACATATATACATATATACATATATACATATATACATATATATATACATATATACATATATACATATATACATATATACATATATACATATATACATATATATATACATATATGCATATATGCATATATACATATATATATATATACATGCTTTCCCAGCTAATGATGACTGTGGCAAGGTGCGGATGACTTCTAATGATGGCATGGAGTCCTGAGGCTCTGCAGTTTTTTGCGGCAGCATTTCGAATGCGGATATCATGGGGATAATGGTGGATATCAATATGACTTTGTCCACCCCCAGTCAGCCATTTAATTGGTGGAACTGACTGATGAAGCATTGGATTTGAAGGTACCCATATTGTCCTTTTGGAAAAAATTAAAGAGGTCGGATTGGTATTTCATTTACCCTCGTAAATAAACATAGACCCTGAAAATCACCCATTTTTAATGGAAACGAGTCTTCCAACCCCTATCTGCCAGGATCTATGTTAATTTACCAAAGGGTATTATGTATTGCTGATTGTGAAAATGCCTGGAGCCCTCTATTGATCGACCAACCAGGGGGAAAAGGATCTCCATATCTATCATGGGACTTACCCGAGTTTGCTATGGAAAATCACCATGTTCGAAAACGGTGAATCATCGATCATATCTATCATCTAAATAGGCCATCCATGTCACTCTACAGGAGGGTAATAGGAATATTATTATATCCAAACATGGAAGTATACTGTGGATCGGATGTGATATCAGCAAATGGGGTATTTAAAAAAAAAATGGGGATATAATAGGGATTTGGCCATCCAAAATAGAGAGTCGACCAATATATTTAATATGATATATTTGCATGCACATGTATATATATATATACCATCAGGTATGGCCATTTCTGAGGCGAGGAAACCTTCAACTGGGGATATAAGCCAACAACGATTTGGATTTGTCTCAAAATCTGGGACAAACCCATTTCCACCGGCCATACCGGCAGGTTTCAACAAGGATTCAGCTGTGTGGAAAAGACTGGGGGTTTCCACTTCTACGCCTCAAACCTTTCAGTAAAAGTGGCTCACCCCCACGTAATCCACTCCATTTCAAACCAAGGGCTGCCCTCAGCCCCCGCCCCGGCCGCCTTGTTGACGATGCCAAAGGCTGACCCAAGGCCCCGCACGAAGGCGGTGATGAAATTCACGAATTGAAATTCATCCAAAGTGTGGCCTCAGCGGATGGCAGTGACTGGACCCATGTGTCACCTGGGTAAAGAGGCTCCGTGTTCTCTCCAGATCAAATCGGGCATGTAGGTTCTCCAGATCACAACACTTGCCCGTCCAGAAACGGCAAGTGTTGCTGAAGGCCATCCATATCCATCCAGCTAAGTGGCTATCGTCTTGATCCGCCAGGCCAAAGATAAATCGTAGTTTGTCCTTCGGAGCCTGAGATGTTGCAACCGAGAAGATGATCAAAGATTTTGGAGTTTCAATATGGGCTCACCAAAGGCCAAGATTGAAATCATGGAAACAGAAAACCAATCTATACATATACATATACATATATATATATATATGTCTATATATATATTATATTACATATTATATATTTTATATTTTATATGCCAGTAGTACCGCACAAGGCGGTGGAGGAACTTTCAAAAATAGGAAACCTATAGGAAAGGTTGGTTGTTGTGAATCAGGGATGGCAGAGCGAAGCCACTGATGGATCGAAAGATGATTGATCTCTCTCACTCTTTCTCTCTCTTTCTCTGACTATCTACCTACCTACCTATCTATCTATCTATGTATCTATCTATCTATCGATCTATCTATCTCTCTCTCTCTCTTTCATCTAATTACCTATCTATCTATCTATCTATCTCTCTCTCTCTCTCTATCTATCTATCTATCTCTCTCTCTCTCTCTTTCATCTGTCTATCTGTCTATCTATCTGTCTATCTATCTATCCATCTATCTATCTCTCTATCTATCTATCTATCTATCTATCTATCTATCTATCTATCTATCTATCTATCTATCTATCTATCTGTCTCTCTGTCTTTCTGTCAGCGTCATGCAGTGTAGTGTAGTGTAGTGTAGTCTAGTGTAGTGTAGTGTAGTGTGGTGTAGTGTAGTGTAGTGGAGTCTAGTGTAGTGTAGTGTAGTGTAGTGTAATTAGTGTAGTGTAGTGTAGCGTACTGTAAAAGTAGTATTGTAGTTGTAGTTGTACTTGTACTTGTAGTTGTAGTTGTAGTTGTACTGTAGTTAGTGTAGTGTAGTGTAGTGTAGCGTAGTGTAGTGCAGTGCAGTGTAGTGTACTGTAGTGGAATGTAGTGTGGTGTAGTGGAATGTAGTGTGGTGTAGCGTAGTGCAGTGGAATGTAGTGTAGTGTAGTGTAATGTAGTGTAGTGTAATGTAGTGTAGCGTAGTGGAGTGTAGTGGAATGTAGTGTAGTGTAATGTAGTGTAGTGTAGTGTAATTTAGTGTAGTTGTAGTTGTAGTGTAGTGGAGTGTATATTTATATATGATATGTATATATACTATATATTGTATATAACATATTATATATCATATATTATAGACTTTATATTATATATTATATGTTTTTATATCATATATCATATATCATATATCATGTATTATATATCATATTTCATATATTATATATATATATCATATATTGTATATTATATACTTTATGTTATTTATAGTATGTATATTATATATTATTATTGTTATTATTCTTATATTAGTATATATGTATTATATGTGTATATTTATGGTTTATATTATATATAGTATAATTTATATATATATGTGTATTATATTTATATATGTATTATATATATATGTGTGTATTATATTTATATATGTATTATATATATATGTGTATTATATTTATATATGTATTATATATATATGTGTGTATTATATATATATATACGTATTATATATATATAAATATATGTATTATATATATATTTGTGTATTATATATCTATGCATTATATATATATATAATATATGTGTGTTTTATATGTATGTATTCTATAATATGTATAATAATCACAATAATAATACGATATAATATATATATATATGTAGTATACATATAATATTATATTATACTATAGTATATTATGTTTTATTACATCATCTTATATCATATTATATCATGTTATATCATATTATATCATATTGTATTATATCATATTATATTATATCATATTATAGTTTATCATATTATGGCATATTATATTATATTTTATGTATATTAGAAAAAAAAGTATATATTTATGATATGATATTATATCATACTAGATTATATCATATTTTATTATATCAAATTATAGTGTGTATTATATCATATTACATGATATTATATTATACTATATGTTTTTACTATATTATATTATATTATCCTCTATTATACAATATTATATTATACTTTATTATATTATATCATATCATATCATATCATATAATATTATATTATACTCCATTATACTATTATATATATATATAACATTATCTTAAAAATGCTCCCGCGGTCAAAATTGGCTCCTTTTACCTTTAAACCATCCCAAACCGAAGTTGCGCAGACTGAGCGGCGATAAGTTGAGAAAGCAGCACACCCGCAGTGAAGAGACTCACCACAGGCACTTTAATCTTGCCCCTGGCGAGGAGGTTTCATAGCAATGTCCGGAATAATGGTGAAACTTTGTGTCTTAATGAAACTAAAATTAGGGACCTTCAAGTCTTAATGAGTCTTAATGAATATGAATTGGACCTTGATGTCTGATGTGTTCCTTTTTTGGGGCCGCCCAGGGGGTTTTCACCCCGGTCAGTCGTTTTTTTCCGAGCCGCAGCGCAGGCCCTGACATGCCCTCGGTTTCCAAGCGCTTCCAACCTTTGGACATCGGCGAATATTTCGTTTCTATGGGGATATGATGGGGATATGATGGGGATAGAACTAGTAAACTGATGTAAATTGGAACATTTTTGGTACTTTTTTTATGCGTGTCTGAAAATGCTGATGAAGGGCCCCAATTCATGGCCAAAGATATGGGGAAAGTCAGGTTTGAAACCACCATGTTTTGACCCATGTCCATACATCCTCTGGAAATCTAATATGATAATGATAGTGGAAAATCTCTCGTTTATAGACGTTCTGATTGAAAGTCTGGATTCTCAATTGCCAGGTTTGCTCGAAAGGTATCAAGAATGGAGTCTTGAAGATTTGAAACGAAAAGGGAGGGAGAGTTGTGGGATATGATCGAAACATACCGAAACTGTCAGAACCTGGCCACCCAGAGCTGCCTTGATGATCGAAAAGCTTGCCTCAGGCAGATCTCCGAATCAAGTGGCCAAGACACACAAAACAAGAGGCAACTGTCTTCAATCGCCAGGGATACATAGGTCCATGATTCATGGTCTGCGGTCTTCAAGAAAATAATCAAAAGATTACAAAATATTTTTACTGTAGGTTGATACTCTTTACTTCCCTCCAAAGCAAGTAGAAAGTAACTGAGTGGCGGCAAAGTTGTGACACCTCCCGATGCCTGTGCTTCCAAATTATGGCTGGACCCAAAACCACACGACCCCATAAGCGCTAACATTGAGTGCAACTGCGGTGAAGGCTGCATCCAGGTTGTGTTTTGTGAGATTCTTCAAAGGTTGGAGAAAAGATGTGGTTCACAAGAAATGAACCTTGGCATCTCAAAATGATGCACACAAGAATGAACCATCCCCCCAGTTTACCAATGGGTCGTACAAACCATCCCCAATTGGAGCTACCTACCCTGCCCAAAAAGAGTCGGAAACGCCGATTTCCACGAAGCTTCCAAATGGGTATGACATATCCATTGTCATCCATATCCATTATAAGATTGAATTATTAGATAGCTAAGCTGGTTTGTAATTCCACTCATGATGGTTAAACGGTTAATGTTTATGATACTTATAACTATAGTTAGGGGGTATGTAACATTGTGTGTTTTTTTGTGCCCTAATCTTGTTGGGCTACCGACGTTCGCTGATTCCACGACCAGTTGCAGATGTCCTTCAACCGATGTCTCGGACAGCTTAAGATCCTGATAGTTGCACCCTTCGGAAAGATTTGGAGTGGAAAGATCCATGTTCTTGTCCATAAAGTCGCTCATTTAAGGGAGAAAGGAACCCAAAAAAATGTACCAAACATGCAAGTCAAGTCAACTAAGGTTGAGTAGATAGTAGAAGGTGGTGCGTATTTTGAGGCAGCTCAGGCATGAATGATTTTCGGACGAAACATCATAGTTTTTGATTTCTCGCGTTCAAACTGCGGAGGTTTCACCAGGTGTCATGGCCAATACTCCTGAGAGATCATGGAATTTTGGACGCAAGGTTGGGATCCATTGACCTTTGAAACCCAGATACCGTGCCTTCAATCTTAGGTTTTGTCTGACTTGTCTGATAAATGGGTGCTATCATTGAGCTGGTCACTTCGTTGGAGTTACGCCATGTAAATCTCGGGAATTCCTGAAGATCAAAGAGACACACGGAAATGGTCTGGTACCCAAAATTGCAGATGGGCATGAATGTTCATCCCTCCCCATCTTCAGTTTTCCAGTCTCACGAGAAAATTTGCTGGATTTAGATCCACATCGATGCTGAAAAGTCCCCCCCTTTATTTCTTCGCCGAGGAGATCGAGCAAAAAATGACAAGTTTCTGCTCCAATTCCAAACCATCCACCTGGCTGGGTCAAAAGTGTTGCGTGGCAAGAGCTTCATCGTGATGGGATTTCACCAACTTCATATCCACCTTTATTTAAGTCTTCAGGCCCATAATTCCCTGCTTGAACCAACATTCCCCATTTACTGTACCACCACGCCATGTGTTGTAGTTTTGCCAAGTTATATTAGCGTTTTTGTTGATTTGACCACCGTCTCTGCTGATCTGACCACCGTGTCTAACGTCTGTCAGTATTACCACCCTGTTTGTTGAATTGGGCACCATGACTATCATTCCTGTTGAGTTTGCCAACATACTTTTTTGATTTCACCACCATGTCACCCGATTTTTTGCGTTATTTTTCTATAGTTTTCTTGTTGATTAGGTATGTACCCCATAATATTCCCATTATATCTCACTATATTCCCATGCGTTCCCATCATATTCCCATCATACAAGTGGAGCCCGGGCAAGCCGGGTGACGGAAGTTTCGAGGGGGGGAAGAACCTATAAAGACAAGGGAGAGCCTATAGGAACGGCCCCTGACCGCCTGGCTGGCACAGCCGTCGACTGCGTAATCTCTTGGAAATCTTTGTCCTTGACGTTTCTGAATTCTCGACATCTTTGTCTCATGCTGCCACTGTCTCTTGATCTGGCTTGCTCCCGACATTTCCGCATCTTCACAGACCTTTCGCTTGCTTGCCGCTTGTCTGGGCATCTTTTTCTCCCTGACATTTCTTCCTCTCGACATCCTTGCCCGATGATGCCACTTTCTCTTAATCCGGCTTGCACTTGTCATCTCTGATTCTTGACAGCCTCTTTCTTGTTGACAGCTCAGGAGCCTGGGACCTGACACACTCTGCTCTCCTGACAAATTTATTTCCCTATTCCTTCACTCTCCTACTTTCTTCAGTTCCCTACTCTAGTCGCACAGACCCCTCGACGCCGGGAGCCACTTTATGCGAGAAAACACAGGGTTTCGTGCGATTTCCAACACCCAAACATCACCTGGACCTGGACAAAGCGTTGGAAGCAGCCATTCCAATGCAAATGCAAGCCTGGATCACCAAACACAAGCGCATGAAATCTTTCAAGATCACCTCTGCAGCGCTGACAATGGGGACCACTCGAGCGCAGCATGAACGCAAACCGAACCCAACGCAAACCGCAGCACACCACGTCTCCACTCTCTCCATTTCTGATCTCTCCACATTCCTACTCTCATTTGTTATTGTTGTGATTATGTATTTGTTGTAACTTATTGTTGTGATTATGTACAGTAGTTGTGATTATTTATTGTTGTGATTATTTATTTGTGATTTTTATTTGTTGTGATTATCTATTGTTGTGATGATGTCTTGTTCCTCTAAACTTCCTTTGACCATATTCCCATCATAGTCCCGTCATAGTCGCATTATATTCCCATCAATTCCCCGGTATAGTCCCATGAATTCCGGTAACCATGCCAAATACGCTGGTTTCCGCGTTCAGAAATGAGGCGTTTCCCATTAACTCCCATTAACTCCCATGAATTCGATGTTTCTCTTCATTTTACCGTCCCTTTTTCATGAGACGGCGAAAAACCATCGCCTTGCCAGGCGCTTTACTCTTCAAGCGTTGCCCCAAGACTTGCCACCTGCCATGGAGTTTCATCATTTTGGGGCTGATTTTAACATGAAGAATGGTGGATTGTACCAATAATTTGGGTGTTTATCATGAAAAAGCCGGAGTTTACTATCAACAATGTGGAATTGACAATCAGCCAAGATGCTCATGATGCATGTGTTTTTAGACAAAAAAACTATTGACACCCTTTTCATTTGCAAAATGACGCTCATCCGGTTGTGACCCCAAAATGATCCCAGCGAAAGTGAGTATCCTTCATTTTCTCCCATCAACACTGATAATTACTGATAATTCTGATAATCCTACCAACAAAGCATCTTAGCCAAAAAAAACGTCGGGAGTTTGAGCTCGTCTCCAAACCGCAGAAGCCATGGTGGAAAGATGTCCAAAGTTGAATCTGACACACGGATGTCCCAAAACTTGGGGCAGATTTAGCTGCTGGGCAACCCTTCACCACCAAGCTTTCAGGAACTTCTTAAGATGCCACCGAAAAGGTGTCCGGTGTGGTCATCCCGCCTGTTGTAGCATCTGATCCAGAACTCCAAAGTCCTCAGGCTACCCCAAATCCATCGATTCATCCACGTTTTCCCCATGAAAGTGCCAGGGGTATATAGGCTTGGTGGGATGCAGTAACATTCCGGATGTTACCCCAATTCAGAACCACCAAACCGCACCAATGGGTTTGTTGAAACCCAATTCCAGTGGAGGGTCACCACTTTTCCCCTTGATGGCCATCATGCGGTCGCCCAGCGTCCGGTTGCCCACCAAACGAAACTCCGGTGCAGCTTCACCCGTGAGAATCGTGGTCCAAAAATCACCTCGTCTCAGTGGTGACCCCATCAGGATTGCCTCACAGTCTCATGATCATGGGATATTAGGAGTAAATGTTTCTAAACATTATACACATGGAGCAATGTTGGTAGACATTCCATGGAGCATCTGGGTTTTCATCCAAATTCTGAAAAAAAAAACACTGTTTCTCATGAAAAACAACCCATTCGGTTGTGGCTTCCATACCCTGGGGCCTGGGCCCTGATCTAAATCAGCTTCAGAAGTCTTGCCAATGGAAGTTAATTGGCGTGAAATGGGACCCCATCGACAAGCAGTTCTGACCCTGGAGATCGTCTGAAACCACTGTCAAACCCCGTGAAATAAGCCATAATATACCTATTGAACATCGAAATGCTTCCCCGAAATCCATCAGAAAAGGTCGACTGGTGCCCCATTTTTTCGTCACCGAATTTGCTTGTTGGTTGCAGCCCATCTAAGAAACAAAATGGGGCAGTTGGTTGGTAACCCGGTTAGTATCATCATCCGACTTTGTGGCATGGGTTCCCCTCCCCTCCCCAATTTCTTTGTTGGCAAAATATGTCCAATTGAACCACCAAACAGCAAAAAGAAACTCACCACAGGTTATGTACATCCCATGCGATAGATACCACGATATGTCCATAAGATGTTTGGTTTTATACCTCCATATCCATTACTTATTGGTCAAACCAACTGAATGATCATGACATCCCCATTTCTTTTCCATCTTGCCCAACA